GCCATGTCCTCAGAAGGCCAGGCTGGGTTTACAGAGACCTTCTCTTCTTGGGGAGCTCTTGGCCACTGCAGGATCCCCCAGGCTGCAGTCACAGCTCTGACTCCAGCTGCCACCAGAAAAGTGTTGTCCCCATCCCCACTTGGTCCTGCTGACCCCAGGAGAAGCAGGTCCCCACGATGGGACCGGGGAGCTCCTCTCCAGCATGGTGCTGAGCCCACCTTGGTGGCTGGAGAAGGCCTGACTCCCAGAGGAGTCATCAACCAGGAGTCCTGCTTGATGGGGCTCCTCCAAAGGGCACAGTGGGACATCCCCACCACAGTGCCAAGGCCAGCTGTCCCTGCCCAGGACCCCCAAAGTGGCCTCAGCACCAGCAGGACAGACCCAACCATCTCTCCAAGCACCTCGATCATCGTCCTCCTCCCACCACAGCCCTGCTCAGGTGCAGGCTGAGCCCACACCAGCTTGTTGCACCCCTGAGCCCAGCGTACCCCAAAGTGCCCCAACCGGTTCCCACTCACTTTTGAGCCCGGGGTTGGGGGTTTTCTCCACGTACTGCACGGGGCCGCAGGCACTGTCCCCGCTCCGGCTGCCGTCCAGCTGCTGCTCTACCTGCTGCCAGGCTGGGGGGAACAGGCAGGGGGTGGGTTGGGATGGGGGTTTCCCAGCCTGGGGGGCTGCGGGAGGGCAACAGGAGAGGGCAGGTCCCCAGGCTGGCAACTCCATCCCTGCACCACCGATTGTTCCCAGCACGATGCAGCTGCCTCAGAAGGGACCCCACACGCTCCAGCCCCCCCGGGTGCTGCCCAGGGACCCTCTGCCCTCACCTTCATAGATGAAGCGGACGTTCTCCTCATGGGCCAGGGTGTAGCACTCCTCAGGAGCTGAGACCTGATGCAGCAGCACTTGTGGTCTCTTGCCATTCACTCTGTTGAACACAAGTTTCTGGGCTGGGCTGTGGAGACAAGCAAGGGAGGGGTGAGGGGGGCCAACAGCTCTTCCCACCCCAGTTTGAAGCAAGGATTGGGTGCCCTGGGTTGCCCCACTTTGTGCACACTCACCCACAGCCCCAGCAAGGCCAGGGGCACAGCTGCAGCCACCCAGCCCTGTCCCCAAGGGAGGGGACAGAAAGGGAAAGGGGGTTCTGACACAGGGAGGGGTGAAAGGGGAGCTCCCCAGGGAAAAGCATGTCTCTCACCTGTCCTCCAGCCCAGCACCAAGTGCAGTCCCTAAAATAAAGAATCTGCCGCCAAAACTGCAGGAATATCAGGAAAATGGAAACAAAATCCACTTGGGCACAAGGCAGGGGATGTGCCATCTTCTGCAGACGGAGCACCTGGGATCACTGGAGCAGCCCTGACCCCAGCATGAGCCCAAGGTGCCCCAGGACTGAGACATAACTCTCTGCCAGTGAGGAGCAGGTCAGCCTTCCTCAGAGCTGGGATCCCCTTTGGGAGGGTGGCACTTAAACCAGCCCCAGCCTGGAAGCAGCAACACCAGACAGAGCCAAGGGAAAAACTTGGGATGAGATTTTGAGGGCACGTTCAATACAAAACTCCAGTATTTTGGCTTTTCGGCCCAGCTCTGGGACAGGACGTGTCTGCAACCGCCACATTCCTCATGGGACAAAGTCTAAGGGGCCTCGGGAGTGGGTTTGGAGGGCAGGAGAGACTGGGAGCAGGCAGCCCCCACGGACCTGTGGGCAGGGACTGGGAAGGGCAGTGACCCCCAGACCCCCACAGCCAGGGGTGCTGGCAGGCAGCAGGAGAGTGAGTGTGGCAGCAGCCCCTCCAGTGAATTACAGGGATCCTGGGAAGGAGGGGAGCTGGACAGGGGGGCTTTTATATGTTTCTTGAAACTGAAAGGGATGGGCAGAGCTGGAGGGGTCCCACAGCCCTGCCTGGGTTGCCTTTGCCCCCGGGCACGGAGCCAGGAAAGGGTCTCCTTAGGGATAGATCCATCATCACCCGGCAGGCGCTGGAATCCCCTCCGGCACCCACCCGGCAGCTCCAGGTACCGCTGGTGGACGCTGGGAGTCATCCCAAAGCGTCCCCCCAGACACACCTTAGGGGCAGGGGGCACGGCCAGTCCCGCGTGGGTGCGTGGCGTGGCCGGAGCCGCGGCCCGGGGCGGGCGGTCCCACAGCGGGGCTGGCACTGGCCCCGCCGCCGGTTTGTGCAATCGGGGCCGTGCCCGGGGCCGGCGCGGGGGGGTCGAACAAGCCCAGCCCGGCCCGGCTCTGCCCTGCACCGGGACCCCCCCGTGCCGCCTCCTTGGCGTGACCCCACCGCTCCCGCTCCCCGCGGTTTTTGGGGACAGCCCCCGGGAAGGAGGAGCGGCGCCAGCCCCGGCGTCCCCGCCGCGGGGGCGGCCCACGCCACGCGTGTTCTCGCTGCGCGGGACCGGGCGGGCACCGGGACGGCCGCGACCCCCGCGCCGAGCGGCACCGGGCGGCGGCACCGGGACCCCCCTCCCGCGGCCCCCCGGGCGGCCCGGCAGCCCCGCTCCCCTTCCCAAGGTCACGGCCCGGCCGCCCCGGGGACGGTCCCCTTCCCAAGGTCACGGCGCTCACCTGGCGGGGGGCCACGCTCCGGGCTGCGGCCGCCCCCGCAGCTCGCCCAGCTTGCTGCTCTCCACCGCCTGCTGCGTGGGACCTGCGGGGGGCGCGGGGCGTCAGGGGGCAACGCGGGGCGGGACGGAGCCCCCCGCGCCCCCCGGGCCCCGCGCCCCCCGTACCTGTGCGGCGCTGCGTGGCGAGCTTGCTGGGCCCGCGCGTCAGCGTGTACATCCTGCGGGCCCGCACCGGCCCCGCACCGGCCCCGCGCCCCCGCACCACTGCCGAGCGCGCCCCTCTCCGGGGCCTTTAACGGGCCGGGCCGGGCCGGGCGGCCCCGCGACACGCCCCCGCGCTTAAAGGGACCGCGCGGGGGGCGCGCGTGGGGCGCGGGACCGCGCAGAGGGGCTGGGGGTGTGCGGGGAGGGGGCGTGGGACACGCGCGGGGCACGTCGCGGGAACACGTGGGAGGTGTGCGGGGACACATGTGACACGTGCGGGGTGTGTAAGGGACGTGCATGGCATGGGGGGACACAGAGGGGACACGCACGGGACACACAAGGCGGAACGCGTGGGACGTGGGGACGCGCAGGGGACACGCGGGACGCATCACGGGCACGCGTGGGAGGTGCGGGGGACAGACGGGACACGTGCAGGGCACACCGGGGACACACACATGGGGGACGCTCGTGGCAGACAGGGGATGTGGGGACACACAGTGGACACAAAGGGGATACGCTGGGGGTGTGTGTGTGACGTGGGGACACGCAGGGGAAACACGCAGGACATGTCGGGGGTACACGTGGGGGGACATACGGGGGCTCACAGGGTGCAAGGACACACAAGGGAGACGTGCAGGACACGTTTGGGGCACATGTGGGGACATACACGGGACACACACAGGGACCTTAAGGAAAGGACACGGGATGTGGAGACACACTTGGGACATGCATAGGACATATCAGGGGCACACGTGGGATGTGGAGGGCACACAGGAAACACACGGGGGACACATGGGGACATATGTGAGACATGGTAACATACAGGGGACATGCGTGGGACACAGAGGACATGTGGGACATGTGGGAGACACAGGACACACCCAGGACACACCCAGGACACAAAGAATGCACACAAGGGACGTTGGGACGCACAGGGGTCAAAGTAGGGGAAAAGGCACAGGAGGCACGTGGGACACAAGATGGCACAGGCAGGCAGGGGACACGGGAGTCACAGGGGACACGGAGAGGACCTGAACGGGGACATTCAGGAGATGGAACACGGGAGCCATGGCACACACAGGGGACATGTAGGGGTCACTCCTGGGACACAGAGGGCCCAGGCAGGGGACATCGAGGGGGCTCAGAGGCAGGGGCTGAGGTGCCACCCCCGTGGGGACAGTGCTGTGACGAGCCCAGAGCCGCACATCCCATGACCAGAGCGGGAAGCCGGAGCGGGGACCGCGTCCCGGCCGCCACGGTGACCTTTGGAGCTGGGAGGTCCCGCCGAGGTGTCCCCACCTGGTGGGAGGTGCAGACCCGGCACATGACCCGGAGCCGGTCCCCGGCCCCCCCCCGGGGCTGGCTGGTGACAGCAGCTAGGGTTTGGGGAGGGGCCATGTGACAAACCCACTGGGGTCTCCTGAATGCTCCAGCCCGGCTCCGGGCACTGCAAAGCCACCCCACGAGAGTGACCTTTGCCTTTCCGCCACGTGTCCACGGTGGTGGCCACGAGGGAGGGGTGCAGGAGGGTGCCCCCCCAAAAAAGCACAGCAGCGCCTGACCCTGGTGGGTGCCAGACGCCCCTGGCTCACTCGCAGGGGTGAACCCAGCACGGTCACATCCACATGACTCCCCCAACCCTATTACCGCGCCTAAATACAACCCGACCCCTGGGGACACCACCGCTGGTTGTCACCTGCCCTGTCAGCCGGCAGGGGTTGTGCCTCAGTCTCCCCACTTGAGACCTGCCCGGGGTTTGTCAGTGCCTGTGGGCACATCCTTGAGCTTTTCTATGCTCAGAAGAGCTGAACTCCAAATCCTTGTTCTCCAGACGGATCCCTCCAGACCTCCATCACCAGTGGGAGCAGCCACAGCAGGGGTGGTTCCCCACTCACTCCCAGTTTCCTGGGGTGTCCATGCAGAGCCTCAATTCGCTTTTGTTGTGGGGGACAGGGTGGGGATGTCCGTGCGTGGCGGGTGAGCTGCGGGGCCCAGCGGCCCGCGGGGTCCCGCGTGGGGCCGAGGCCGAGGCGCGGCAGGGCGGGAGCGCTGCCGGCAGCGCCGCTGGTGTAGTGGTATCATGCAAGATTCCCATTCTTGCGACCCGGGTTCGATTCCCGGGCGGCGCAGGAACCTTTTCGTTCTTTTTTTTTTTTTTTTCTCCCCACCCACCCCGCCGTGGAAGCTCCACCCGCGGCCTTGGGGCGGTCCCGTGGGCCGGTCCCGCGGGGGTGCCGGGAGCTGTAGTTCCCCCCATCCCCTCCCAGCCCGGCCATGGAGGTGCCGGCGGCCGCGGAGCGCAACAAGGGCCCGATCCTGGCGGTGCTGCGGGAGTGCGCGGGGCGCGGAGCCCCCGCGGGGGCGGCGCTGCGGGTGCTGGAGGTGGGATCGGGCGCGGGGCTCCACGCCGCGCACTTCGCCCGCGCCCTCCCGCACACGCGCTGGCAGCCCTCGGACATCGACCCCCGGGCCCTGCGCAGGTGAGGGGGGCCCGGGGGGCTGGGGGGGCCCGGGGGCACCGCCTGCCTGCAGCCCCCTCCCACGGACCCGCGGCCCGGGTTCCCTGCTCCCCGCTTTATTTTTTTCTAGGAAAAACCCCAGCTCCAACTCTGGGGCAGCCAAGGCTCTCCTGCTCCGTGCTGTGTTTTTTCCAGGAAAACCCCAATATCCAGCTGTCAGATGGATATTCTTTCCAGAACAGACCCACTCAACAGTGGGCCCAGGCTCCCCAATTTATTTTTTTTTTCCCAGGAAAAATCCAATATCCAACTCTCTGGCAGCTCAGGCTCTCCTGCTCAGTGCTGTATTTTTCCAGGAAAACCCCAATATCCTGCTCTCATATGAGCTTGATGTGAATTTTTTTCCAGCAAAGATCCTTCGGACAGACCAGGCTTCCCTGCTTGACACTTTATTTTTTCCAGACAAACCACAATATTCAACTCCTACCCATCCCAGGCTTCCCAAGTCAATACTCACTATATTTTTTTTCAGTAAATCCCAATATCCAACCAGGCTCCCCAGCTCAGGATTTTATTTTTCCCAGAAAAGCCCCAAAATCCATCTTTCCCCCATGGAAAAAAATAAACGTTGTGGGGAGGTGCCGGAATCGGCTCCTGTGCAGGGGGGTTTGTGTCCTGCCCACCCAGCAGCACCCACTGCCCTGTGAGGCTGCAGAGCCAAGACCTGGGTGGTGAATGTGCTGAAAAGGGTGTAAATCACACCAAAATCTGGCGGTGCTGGGGCAGTGGTACCGGGGCAGTGCAGGCAGGCAGGAGCACAGGCTGCTCCAGAATGGGGGGTTTGGGCCCTGGGGCCTCTCCATCCATGTGCTGCTGGTTGTCCAGGAGCTGCCAGTTCTCCATCAGGGAGCAAAGAGCCCCCAGCTGTGCTGCACCCACAACCTCCTCAGCCACCATCCAGGAGTTCTGTCTGTGCCTGCAGCGGGTGCTGGAGGGATGCACGGGGGAGGGAGGACCAGGCAATGCCCGGCTGGGGCTCAGGTGGGGTTTGGTGCCCACAGCATCTCTGCCTACGTGGAGGCCACAGGGCTGCCCAACCTGCTGCCCCCCATCGTGGTGGATGTCTCGCAGGGCTGGGAGACGTGGGGGGGCACCCAGCCCGCCTCCCTCGACCTCCTTGTCAGCATCAACATGATGCACATCGCGGAGCTGCGCTGCACCCAGGTGAGCAGCCCTGCCCCAGGCCCTGTCCCCTGCTCTGAGAGTGCCAGGGCACTCCCCTGAGGTGAGGGGTTCCAGGGGGTGTCCCCAGACCCCTGACCTGGTTCCCATCTCTCTGATTTCCCCAGGGCCTGTTCAAGGGTGCTGGGGTGCTGCTGAAGCCTGGAGGAGTGCTCTTCACCTATGGGGTGGGTCACTGTCCTGCTGTGGGAGCATCTGCAGGGCACAGGGCATCACTGGGAATGCTGGGGGGTGGCAGGTGGGAGGGCAGCTCCAGGCATGGCTTGGGGAGGGGGCAGGAAAGGGGGAAGCTTGGGTTTAGGGAGTCTCTGCCTTTTGGGGCACATGCTGAGCCCTGGATGGGGCAGTTTTTGATGGGAAAGATGCTCATCTCCCTTGCCTTATCCAAGGCAGAGTCTGGGGGGGGCCTGTGGAGGGTGATGGGACCTGTAGTGGGTGACAGGACCTGAGGTGGATGACAGGACTCACAGAGGGTGATGGGCCCCATGGTGCCTCTTGGGGGCCACGGCTCTTCCTGCTTGGCTTCTGTGCATGGTGGGGACAGCAGCCCATGGGGGGGGGCACTCGGGGGACACGGGATGGCTCCCGCCTGCAGCTCCAGCTCCAGCTCCCTGTCCCACCAGCCCTACGCCGTGGATGGACAGATCAGCCCCCAGAGCAACGTGGACTTTGACCGCAGCCTGAGGCAGAGGTAGGAGGGGGCTGGGGTCCCAGGCTGCTGGGGGCCTGTCCTGTCTGTCCTGCCAGTGCTGTCTGTCCTGCCCGTCCGTGCTCCTGCAGCTGCAGGAAGCTCCCTCCCAGTGTGGTCCTTCAAGATAAGCAGTGTCTGGGGGAAGCCCCCGCACCCAGGGGCACCCCCGGGAGATGGGGATGCCTCGGGACGCGATGTCCGTCTGTCTGACCCGCTCCTCCCTCCCCGATGTCCACCTGTCTGACCTGACCCAGCCTCCCTCCCCGCAGGAACCCCGCCTGGGGGCTGCGGGACACGGCGCTGCTGCGGGAACTGGCCGAGGCCAACGGGCTGCGCCTGGAGAGGATGGTGAGTGACGGGGTCTGGGGGGAGTCCCCACACCGGTGGGCGCCCCCTGACCCCCGGCTCTGTGCCCCCAGGTGGACATGCCGGCCAACAACAAGAGCCTCATCTTCCGCAAGCTGTAACTGCCCCGACCTCCAGCACCTCCCGGCACTGCTGCCCCCACTGCTGCCTCCTCGAGGGGTCCCAACGTCCCCCCACAGGTCCCATCTGGGGACAGCAGTGATGGGCCAGTGCCATACTTGCCCCAGCTGGGGGTGGCTTGGCTGGGGGGTCCATCTCCCCCAGTGCCTTCTCCCTTTGCAGCAGGGACCAGAGGAGGACAGGCATGGGGGGGGCACAGGTGTGGGAGCGGGGGCACAGCACCCCTGGGTGAGGGGGAGACTTCTTGCTTGGTTTGCTCTGAGGATGCTGTGCTGATGGCAGGGGACCCATCACCCTTCCCCGTTCCCCAGGACTGTGCTGTTCCCCCCAATAAACTTTGTGGCTTTGGCTCCTCCCTGCCCCAGCAGCTCCCTGATGCTTTCAGTGCCAACACGGGGGTATCTCCAGCCCACCCCCGGCACCAATGGGGGGTCAGATTCTGCACTGGGGGTGCTGCACTGGGTCCAGAGGCTTCGCTGAGGTGGGAAAGTTTTTATGGGGAGCAGGGATGTCCTGGCAGACTTCCCACCCCTCTGCAACCCAACCCAGTTCCTTATTGCTGCTGGCCAGGCTGGGGGGCACACAAGAGGGGGGCATGCAGCAGATAAATTACAGGGGAGATGGGAGCTGGTCTGGGGCTCAGCATGAGGTTGGGGGGAACGACATGATGGTGGTAACCTCAGGTGCAGGGGCTTCCCCAGGCCGCCCCCCTCCATGGTGAGTCTGCAGCTCCCCCCGTTGGCACGTCCCGGCTCTCCCCTAGTCCTGGAAGCGGTTCAGGAGGTCGCAGGTTTTCTTCTCCATCAGCTCATAGATCTTCTTCACGCGCTTGTCGTTGGCTGCCCGGACGTAGCTGCTGGGGTCCAGCGTGGCCATGCCGTCGTGCACCTCGCCCATGATGATCAGTGGCCCGTCCTCCGCCGTCATGTTGGGGCAGGGGCAGCTCCAGTCCATGTCGGTCAAGGTCACCTCCAGGTACTTGATGTTGAAGAACTTGAGGCCCATCTTCTCGTCCTTGAGGACGTCCTCGAGGGCAAAGCGGGCAATGCCAGAGTCCTGGTCCTCCACGATCTCCATCAGCCGGCCCACGATGGCGAAGTCGCTGCGACAGAGGCTCAGCACCATCTTGCTCTTGAGGCGGCAGGCCTTGCACTGCAGGCTCTTGGGGAAGGGGCATACGTCCTCACACGTCTCCTTGCTCTCGAAGTTGTTGGTGTTGCCCTCGCAGCCGCCGTAGACGAAGGAGTGGCACTGCTTCAGCAGGTGGTTGTAAGCCCAGCGCGGCTCCCAGTTCTGGCAGGGCCCCTGCACCATGGGCAGCAGGCAGGTGGGGCGGGCGCTGCCCAGGCAGGCGGCTCGGCACTCCTCGTACGTCTCGAAGTGGTTCCTGTTGGCCCCGCAGCCGCCGTAGCGGAAGGTGAGGCAGGAGCCTTGCTTGGCATCAAAGTGCCAGCGCACCTCCATGGCCTCGCAGCGCCGCCGGTCCGGCTCCTTCAGGCACTCGGCGCTGGGGAAGGGCTGGGGGCTGCTGGCCCTCGGGGTCCCTCCTGGCTCCCGCCTGACCACAGACAGCGGGAAGTCGGCGCGGAGCAGCCCGGCGGCGTTGCGGGCCGTGCAGGTGTAGATGCCGGCGTCCTCGTGGCGGGCGTTGTAGATGACCAGCTGGCCGATGTTGGTGACCACCACGTTGCCGTACATCTGGTCCGGCCGCATGATGAAGTTCTCCTCGCGCTCGCTCTGCTTCTCCCAGGTGATGTCCGGCCGCGGGCGCCCGCTGACGTCGCAGCGGAAGCTGACGGTGCCCCCGGCGCGCACGGACTGGTGAAAGGGGTTGGTGTAGAGGGCGGGGGGCACCGGCACCTCGGGGCCGGCGCCGGGCGTGGGGCGCGCCGTGGTCTCCTGCGGCACCGGGCTGGTGTCGGGCCAGGTGAAGATGTGCTTGCAGGGCACGGTGGTGAGGCGGGTGCCGCGCAGACACGCCTCGGCGTCCATGTAGCACTTGTTGTAGTAGGTGAGCCCGTCGGAGGCGCAGGTGAAGTTGGGCTCCTTCTCGCAGCGGTCCTTGCACTTGCAGACGGGTTGCCCGTCCCAGATGTCGCAGTCGGAGCCCTGCTGGGCGCACACGAAGCTCTCGCAGGACGCGGCGGGTGCCAGGGCCAGCGCCGGGGCGCTGCCGTCTGCAAAGCGCGCGGCCACGCAGCTCCGCAGCCCACACACGTTGGTGCAGCACTTCTCAAAGTCTTCACAGTCCTGGCCCGGGAGGGAGAGGAGGTTGTGGGGAGGACATGGAGGTCACTGCCGTGCTGTGACTGTGGGGGCTGTTCCCACCCCTGTGGGACTTGTGGGTGGGCAGGTGTCCCCTGTGTAGCTCTGTGCACCTTTGGCATTGCTGGGCTCTGGGTAAGAGCCTAAAACCTCCCCAGCACCGCTGGACTGTCCCCAGCCCACCCTCAGTCCCCCCCCGGATGTTTAGGGGTGCACTGCAGTGATGTCGGGCCCTTCTCCCCCAAAGCAAACAGCATCTTGCCGCTCTCAGCTTTTGCTGGCTGAGGGGAGGCAGAACTCGTTACACAGATGAATTGTGAAGGAGTCTCCCCATCCTGGGTGTGGGCAGCCCTAACCGTGGTGGGGGTCCCGCTCACCACTGCGGAGCCCAGAGCCAGGGCTCTCTGGGATGGGCAGCCCTGTTCGTGGGTGTGCTCCTGCCCTCAGGGAAAAGTTGGAAGGGGATTGATTCTGTCCTCTGCCTGATGGGATCCCCGTCCCAGCACACCATGGCTGGGTAGGGCAGGGGATCCTGTCCAAGGGGCATGGCCTGAGGGGGAGGCATGTGGGGGCAATAAGCAGTTTCTCTGCCTGTGGGGCGCCGCGGAGCATCCCCGGGGCACCTCTCACGCCAGCAGGGGCTTAGGGGAGGCAGAGCTGCAGCCGGGCCGATTGCACCGAAACAACTGAACCAACTGTGCCACCGGGCACGGGACCCGCACCCCAAACATCTCCTCGGGGACCTGGGGATGCCCCCCAAAAGCTGTTACCTCCCTCCGCCGCCGCAGCCCCCCCGCTCACCTGGTCTGCCTGGCACTCCCGCTCGCAGGTGCTCTGCGCGTCCACCCACAGGTTGGGGTTCAGCTGGTTGGGGCACACGCCCGGGTGCCGCGTCCTGCCCGGCTGCAGGCTCAGTCCGGCCGCCGCCGCCAGCACGGGCAGGAGCAGTGCGATGCCCACGGGGCCCCGCTGCCGCCCACCCGTGCGCTGGTCCCGGGCCCCGCGACCCCCACGAGGAGCCATCGGGCCACCCCGCGCCGCCGGCCTGGCTCGCTGGCGAGGGCTCGGGATAAATCACATTCAGGACGGAGGGAATGAGGGGGAAGGCGGGCAGGCGGGGGGACAAAGAGGAGGAGGAGGAGGAGGAGGCGAGGACCAAACCTCTGCCCTTCAGCACAGCCGGCGCCCGCCGGACCCCCGGCAACGCCGCCCTCCATCCATCGCCGCGCGGCTCTCGGGGACACGGTGGCAGCGGCGGGTGTCCCCGGGGCTCAGTCCATCCCCGGCGCGGCGAGCGGGGCGAGTGGGGTGGAAGGGGAGGACGGGAAGGTTGTAATCTGAATCCCCTCCCTTCCCACTGATGTTTCTGGGTGTTTGGAATGGGAAAGGCGCTGACCTCAGCCTCTAACCCCGGCGAGCCCGGCGATCCCTGGGCAAACACGGGGGGAGATCAAAGGCAGAATGCAGAAAGTCTCCAAAGAGGGAGAGTGAAGAGAGGGAGGGGGGGACACACAAAAACCCGCTCGGCCCACGGAGCCGAATTCCTGCAGGATGAGAAAAGAGGCAGAGCCTGCAGTCCGGTGGGACGGGGCGGCCGGCGGGAGGCACGGGGAGCCCACGCTGCGGGATCGGGCTGCCCGGGAGCCCCTCACCCCGCACCTCGCCCCTGGGCACCCACTGGCACCACAGCCAAAGGTGCCCAGGAGCGGGATCCCGGCAGCGGCACGGATCCATCCCCGCTCCCCCGCCGGCATCCCACGAGCGCCGCGCTGCCGGCACAGGACCCCGGCTCGCCCCGCGGGCTGGGTGCCCACCCAGCCCCACTGGAGGGGCTCCCCCTGGGGCTCCCAGCCCTCCCTCCCCGCTGATTTACAGCCAGGCTGTCCTCTGAGCCAGACCAGACCCGGCACACTGTGCCTGGGCTCAACCAGCACGTCCCGCACCGGCCCTGAGCTGCCAGGAGCCGGCCCCGGCTCCCCGGCCAGATCCCCCTAATCCCCGCTGGAGACTGACCTGCAGCAGGAACATTTCATGGCATTTTGGGAGCATTAACTCTTCCGGCTCTGGCGAGAGCCTCAGCGCCGAGGGGGGTCTGCAGCCCCTGTGAAACAGCAAACCCAAGGGGGTTTTGCCCCGGGGGAGCAGCTCAACACCTCCAGCCTCTGCTCTTGGGGGGCAGGTGGTGGAGGGGACATAAAAAAGGAGGGGAGCCCTTTCTTGTTTGGTTTTTGTTTTTGCGGGGAATCCAACTCACCCACACCCCTGAGGGGCTTTTGCATGTAATGGTTTGGTGCTCCCCCGGTGTGCAGCTCCTCGGGGAACCCCTTTTGCCCCAGACCAGGCGATTTGGGGGGGCCCTCGACACCCCCACGCTGGTGTGAGCAGGGTGTAGCTGCAGTGCCCTGGCACAGTGACCTGCCAGCGCTGCCACCTCCCTGCCCGGGCTCACCATCGGCTGTGCTGCCGGGGGCTCTGGGCTGCCCAGGGCGATGCTGGGGCTCCCCGGGGCCCCAAACCCCAAAGCACAGTCAGGTCTGTCACCAGCTGGCCATGACCACACCTGGAGGGCTGGAGTGTGTCCCATGGCTGTGCCTGGGATCCGCAGTTTCACAGCCCAGCAGCCACCCAAGGGTCGGTCCCTCCAGCCATGGTTGCCAAGGGGAGGTTCTGCTGCCCCGGGACACTTTCAGGAAGGCTGATGTTTTGCAAACAGGGAATTGCATCAGGATAGCCCAGGTAGGAGCTGCTGGGGGCTATACCCTGCACATCCTGGCAGCCTGGAGACCCCCCAGACTCACCCAGCCCACCCCAGTCACCGGCTGCCTGGAGATCCCTGACCCACAAACCCACCTTGCTCCAGCTGGGAAGCAGTGTGGCAGCTGCAGGGCCCCTTGCTCCCTGGTGATGCAGCCCAGGGCTACAGAGCCACTTTGGGGTGCCCCAGAGTCCTCCCAAGGTTGCTGGTGCAGGAGGGAACAGCAAAGCTGAAGCCCAGCTTTCACCCAGGCCGGGCTCTGTGTGGTCACAGCACGATGATGGTGCTGAGGTCTGGGTCAGCTCCTGGCCCACGGCCCCTCTCCAGAGCCAGAGGAGC